CATCTGATAGAGCTCCTAAAATTGAGCCTGATTAGTATTGGAATCAGCCCATTGCTAGAGCAGGGACGATCGGCAAGCTGCTGCTTTTTGGCGATGCCGGTGGCTGACTTGAAAATAGTTTTGTGTCATTACTGATGTTTCACCACAATTTACCCTCCTATTCTGCACTCCATCCTTCCTCTTTCCTCCCCTACTTTCTAAAGTGGGAGAAACTAAGGAGAGTTATGCAAGTGGCCAACTAGACTTTCCTAGTCCCAGTTTCTTTTGGGAGGAAAATAGCCTGATTTTTCGATCAACTGGCCACCGTAAGCCACTGTACAGTCCATTTAAACGCTAGCAAGATTTCGAATGGGAGCCCACTGGGGTGGCGCGATCCAGAACGGGCTTGATTTACGTCAAATTCTGAGGCCACAGACTTCATAGTTCAGTTGAGTTTGGAAAGATCAGAGTTAGATCCACCACACTGACCGAGAAGAGTTCCAACTTTTTACTAGTTTCTAAAGTCAACCTAGGCAGATCGATACAGACTAGAATGCTGATATGTTACCGAAATAGCTACCTGTATGTCTAGAGCAAGTTCTGCCCACATCTTTGGAATGTGACGACTGGTTTGCTCACCATTAGCGCAAAAGTTTTTGCATGTTTTCCACTACCTTTGACTGATGCTTTCGTTACAGTTTTGATATTTGTTTGACAGGCACCAGATATTTCATTGCATACTACTCGCTCCCTGTAGGGATGATGAGAAATCTCTCATAAAGGGGATCCATTTCCCGAATAGGTTACTAATACAAATGTATTTCGACTCTTTCTTTCGATTCTATCGATAGCCAATGTCGTCCAGCAACAAGCATGGCTGCCGTCTCATTCAAGACCTGCCGCTTGGCCTAGGTATAGGCGAGCCTTCCCAGACCCCTCTTTTCAAGGGCCGAGCGGCTACGAGGTAATGTTATAATACCATTACTGTTAGCTCCGTTCGGTCTCCAAATAACTGAAATGACTACAAAAGCAGTGAATGCCAGCCAGGGGTGATTCAGTACCCTTCAATGAACCTTTAGGGCTTTGTTCATTCTTATCACAGTTTCCCTGCTAACTAGACCGCATGAAGCTCCACTGTCAAGTAGCTTTAGCTGGTAACTGCTGTAATTTCCTGCTCATACTGGACATCATCAACGAAACGTCAATGAAGGCCCCTCAAGCTTACCCCCAATGTCATTTTCTTACCGGATGATTTTTCTTTCGTGATTCTACGTTTTACAAATAAAGTCCATGAATTTTTTTTTCGTGAGATGTGTCGGAGTCCTTTACCACTGCTTCTTTTTCCTCTCATGATGTGGGCGGTGCAATTCCAATTCATTGTAAGAGATGCTAATTCATCTAATTCTTTCCAGAATGTCGTATGATCTTCATGTAGCAGAACTTCCTGCGTATACTCCTTTTTTCGGATATCTGGGAGCCGCTTGTGCACAGGTATGTTGGGTCATGCTTCTTTGGCTGGGGCAGCAGGGCCTCTCTGAGTGAATGATTGACTTGGATACTTTCTGCATTCACTGATACCTTTTTTCCAAAATTTCGTTATAAAGAGTATGAAGTTTATCCTGCTCTTTAATAGTGACTATCATCTTTGGACCCACAAGCCTAAGCACACGGTGACGTCGTAGTGATGCCCTGTGCTTATAGTGTGATGTGAAAGGCTATTCCATGACGATACGGAACGCTCCAGCCTTGACTCATACCCACCATTCATCTTAAACAATGGCGAGAGGATCCAAAGAAGGGCAAACAACCCGTTCTGTTAATAATATTGCGCTAATGATCAAAAGCGAGGAAGGAAAAATTGGAAAAGCACTAGTGAATTCAATGCTCGCCAGTGGATCAGTGCGCTATAGGCCACTGTATACTTCACGGCTGCTTTGCGTCAATATGACGTCAAAGTGTACGCACCGCATTCGCACGCAGCTGAAGCTGCATCTCACACTAACTCTAAAGGCGGCTAGAACTAATTCGTAGAGTATTCTATATCCTTTCGAATGGTTTGCGCCCTTCAAATAATTCATGCTTCCAAATTGAACTTCTCTGTTGTTGTTTTCACTGGGGCTTCGACTTTACCGACAACGCGAATGTTGTCGTTTTGCAGCTGAATAGCCATTTCCGAGAGGCTCCTTAGTACCCATAGGCCTTTGGACTTCTACGGTCACTTGGGGCATGTGAGTTTCGATTATGATCGATCAGAGAAACATGAATAAGTTACTACTTCTTATCGACTTCTTGTCACAACATCTTTGACAGTTTGGTGTAAAGTATCAAAATGTCGTACAGTGTAGTTGGAATTCTATGAAAAAATGGCATTCCACAGTAAAGATGTGTAATATAGCATTGTTGCCATTTGAATGGTGTTGAAAAGGTGGAACATACTGGGATTCGTCTAGCAACCTATTGAAGAGACTAGAACCCGTTTATCCTAACTGACTGTTCTATTTTCCAGAGGATTGAGGTGTCGAGGTATCTGGGGCGGAGTGGGATACGTGTCTTCCGCTCAGAGAGAGCACCGCTTGAATTTGAGAGATCATAGAACGCCTGAGCTACCGAATGAGTGGGGTCAAAATGG